GTACCCTGCCTTCTCCGTAGGAGTGTACCTACTTTCTGCCCCATTTAAGGCCTTGCTTACATAATAGATGGGCCTCTGGACCCCATCATCCCTCATCAAGACCGAGCTAACAGCCATTTGAGTAACCCCTAAGTAGAGGTAGAGGGTCTCCTTTGTTTCTGGCTTGGACAAGACAATATCCGAAGTCAGGTATGTCTTCAGCTCTTCGAATGCCCTGGCGCATTCATCATCCCACTGGAAGGTGTTGGATTTCTTTAATACTTTAAAGAAAGGTAAGGCCTTCTCTGCCGACCTGGATAAGAACCGGTTTAAGGCCGCCAAGCGCCCCGTTAACCTTTGGACATCCCTTACTGATGTCGGGGGTTGCATCTCAACAATGGCTTTGATTTTCTCAGGATTTGGCTCAATCCCCCTCTTCGTGACCATGAAGCCCAAGAACTTCCCCGTCCTCACAGCAAAAACACACTTCTTCGGGTTAAGTCTAAGATTATGCCTAGCCATAATCTCAAAGCATTTTTCCAGGTCCTGAGTATGTGTGTCATTTGCCTTGCTCTTCACCAGCATATCATCGACATAGGCCTCCATGGTCCGTCCAAGCAAAGGCCTGAACAATTTGTTGACCATTCTCTGGTAAGTGGCCCCTGAGTTTTTCAGCCCAAAGGCTATCACCCTGTAACAGTATGTGCCGTCCGGAGTGAGGAAGGCCGTCTTCTCCTCATCATCCTCCGCCATGAAGATTTGATGATACCCCTTGAAGGCATCCATAAAGCTGAGCAATTCACACCTGGCAGTTTCATCCACCATTTGATCCGGGCTGGGCAGAGGGTAAGAGTCCATCGGGCATGCCTTGTTGAGGTCTGTGTAGTCCACGCACATCCTCCAAGTATCACCCTTCGGGGCCAGGACAACATTGGCCAGCCATTCAGGGTAGTTTACTTCCCTGATATGACCTACCTCAAGTAGGTCCTTGACCTCTTTCTTCACAAAGTCCCTCCTATCACTTGCCAAAAATTTCTTCTTCTGTCTTACAGGCCTAGACCCCTTAAGAACAGAGAGACGATGGCAAATGACTGACCGGTCAATCCCGGGCATATCAGCAACACTCCAGGCAAATAATGATTTATACCTGGTCAACACTTGGACAATCTCAGTCCTTAGCTCTTCCTGAAGATCAGCCCCAATTTTGACCTTCCTCTCAGGATTGGAGGCATCAATCTGGATCTCCTCCGTGTTTGCATCCGGCTCAATCCTAGCCTTCTCCTCACCCTTGTCTACCTGCTGGGAGACCAATTCAATTTGTTCAAACTGGCGGGTCATCTTCTTGACTGCTTCCAGGTAGCAGGACCGGGCGTTCTTTTGATCATCCCTTTCCTCCCCGATTCCATTGGGAGTGTAAAACTTCATGCATAAGTGTGCCATGGAAATAATAGCCCTGACCTGGTTGATTCCAGGCCTACCCAGAATGGCATTATGCACACATTTGATGTCGACCACAACAAATCTCATTTGTTTGGTCACTGTCCTGTTACCCGACCCCAAGGTAACTGGTAAGGTGATCTGACCTTCTACTTCTATGCTGGCTCCAGTGAAGCCTGACAATGGGGATTGCAATGGCCTCAGCATGGACCTGTCCAACTTCAATTTCTTGAAAGCATCCAAGTATAAAACATTGACACTGCTTCCTGTGTCAACCAGGACCCTAGCCACATCAGCCCCGTTGATGTCCATTGTAATGACCAAAGGGTCATTATGATCTCCCCCCGTCCTGGGCAGATCCCTATCAGTGAAAGTGATAGGTTCCCTC